TTTATTCTGATTGAAAAAAAATTCAGGAAAAATGTTATTTACCTAATTTTTGTTTATAATTTCTTTGAAATGCTGTAGACACATTTTTTTCAGATATCATTGCGATTTTTTCCCCGAGGAAATCTACGGATTCTTCTCACGTCACCGATGGGTACAACTTCTACTTTACTATTTCAACGACCTCGAGATGTTCTAAATTCAAACTTTGATGATTGGCCTTTTCTTAGCGTACATTTTTGGGGTGAAAAGGCCGAAGGAAAATGGATTTTGCAAGTAATTAATTCTGGAAACAGGCACGTCAACTCAGCAGGTAATTTTAAGCATTAATTTATCGACGTAGTGAATTATCCCCACTATAATTCTCAAATATTTTCTTATAATTGTGGCGATAACGTCTTTTTTTCTTTAGCTGTTATTATTTTAATTATTACTGTCTACTGTCTGATGATTAAGTATATAATAGCTTAATAATTAAAAATTAAAACAGCATTAATATTTATTTCTGGGGTCCAAGTTGTTTCCCAATCGATTGCTTGATTTTACTTATATTATTATTCTTTGAGGCATTTTTTAAAAATAAAGACTTAAAGTATTGCCATAAGCAATGTTTAATAATAGCTGCTTAATGATTTAATAAATGTCTTCATTCTTAAGTATTTGAAGTACGGTGAAGAGAACATGAAAATTCCAACCAATGTACTTTTGAAAAAAAAAAATTACTATTCATTGATTCTTATACTAAACATATTTTAAAAAGTAGCTTAACAGCTATTTCTCAAAATTAAATTTTAAAGAACTTATATTAAAAATTATTCGAAAGTAGGGTTTGTTTAAATCTAAGATAGCACAAATAATATTTTAATCTTACCTTCAAGCTGCTGGAATTATAAATAATTTGTACATTTTGCTTATTTTCTTTATAGTATTACAATTTTCAGCAAATAAGTTTTTGTCAAATTTTTTAGACTGAAAAGTCTTAAGAATTGTTGATGAGAATTTCCTTAGTGTAATCGCTTATAAACAATTTATGTCCTTGATATAATAATAGCAGTTCTTAAAAAATATTTTTTTCACGTGGTGCTTGGGATTTATCAAGTATTTTTGATTTTTCTTAAAATTATCTATTTTTTATAAGTCTTAAAATAACTTATTGCGTAGGAATCAGACATATATCTGTATTGCCTTATATTTATTTTTTCGAACCGGCCAATGTGGCCCACTGGCTTAGACTGCGGTTTTCGTAGGTCCTGTAGCTCAGGGGGC